AATGGGAAAATATACTTCAAACAAAGGACTTTCAGATCTGTAAGAAGTGTCTCTTTGGGCCTGTAACATCAGTGGTTGCTTCAGTGTGATATGGTGAAGGGTTTATCTAAACACCGACAGAAATTACTCAGGAGAGCAACATGGTTAGGTACACCATGAAACACCTTATAGAGTCATAGGCTTAAGGCTGACACTGCACTCTCTTGGCCTTCAAAATACCATGGTGTAATGTCAACATTGTACGCACATTTGGATGTATCCCTTTCGTTATCATTTCATCAACAAGTGTTTCAGCCTTCTCTACATGTCCTACCCTACAATATCCAGATACAAGAGCTGTGTATGTCACAGTATCAGGTTCTAAACCGCTTTCAATCATCTGATCAAACAGTCTTATTGCATCCTGAAGATTGTTTGTCTTACAGTGCCTGTCAATCAAAACAGTGTAACAAACAACATCAGGTTTTACATCCATGACCTTCATTTCCCGCCAAATGGTAGATGAATTAGTTATCCCTTCATTGCTGTATATAGCATCCAACTTTTGATGAGACTTTCTCAAATCTATTTTCAAATGACTGTCAAGTAAAACTGTATATGTGATAATATCAGGTTTAATTCCCCTCTGCTTCATGTCATTGAAAAGATCACAGGCCGTCTGCAAACAATTCACCCTACAATAACTGCTTATCATGGTTGTATATGTAATTAAATCAGGAATTAGTCCTTTCATAACCATAGAATCAAATAATAACTGGGCCTTTCTCACATCCCCAGCCTGACAAAGAGCACCTATGAGCTTACTGTATATAATTTTGTTAGGTTCAACATCCAAAGCCAACATTATCTCCAGCAGATAGAGAGCCTTGTCGATATCACCTTCCTTACAAAGTTCAGTGAGTAATTTTAAACAGGAACCTCTATTCACAATAAAACCTTGCTTAGACAGCCTAATAAAGAGTTCAAAGGCCTGGTTTGTAAGGGAAGCTTTGCAATAACCATTAACCATAGCAACATAGTTTTCTAGAGACTTCTCTTGCAAACTATCTAGAAAAGCTTCAGCTTCCTTAACTTTGCCTCCTATGCATAAGCCTTCGATGATCATGTTGTAAGTAACAATAGTGGGTTTCAAACCCTGTGCCTCCATATAATCTAAAAGATCAATGGCTTCTTGTTTGAGGCCATTCCTAGCTAACCCTCCAGCAAGTATATTATAAGTTATAATATCAGGCTTATGGCCCTTCTCCTTCATTTCCTCTACCAAATTAAAAGCATCAACAACTTTACCTTGAAGACAGTAGCCATGAATCAAGGTTGTGTAGTTGACAACATCAGGGACAATCTTTTTCATGGGCATCTCGTTAAGCAATGCCACAGCTTCTTCCACTTTACCAATCTTGCACAAGGCGTTGACAGCTACATTGTAACAAACCTCATCAAGGAAAACTCCCAAGTCCCTGAACTCCTTAAACCGATTTAGAACCTCAGAAGACATGCCCATCTGACAAAAGCATTGAAGGATTGAGCTAACAATCATGCCATTCATTTTAAGACCTTTTGTTACCATTTCATTAACAAGGGCAAAAGCTTTAATTACATTCCCAGACTTGCAATACCCACAAATTAAGGCATGATAGACATACTCATCAGGATCAACCCCATATTTTTCCATTTCAAAAAACACACTTTCAGCTTCCTTCAACTTCATCTCATTGCAAAAACCTCGAATAACAGCAGCATAGGCAAAGAGACCGAGAGGGAACTTTGCATCTCGCAGTCCTTGGAGCACCTCTAAACCTAAATCTGACCTTCTATTTATGCAAAGCCCTTCAATGTAAGTTGTGTAAGCAAATGAATTGGGGGTGACACCAGCTTCATCCATCTCTTGGAACACATCAACTACTTCGTCCAAATTACCCTTTTTGCAAAGTGCCTTAATCACAATTGTGTATGTATAGTCATTAGGCCGCAAGCCAAGCCTTTTCAACTGCCGGTAAATAGCAACAGCTGCATCCATTTTTCCAGACTCAATCAAGCGATTCATAAGAAAATTGCAGGACAATATATGTGAAACAAATCTACCCGTTTTAGCTTTAAAAAGAGTATCAATGGCCTCATCAAACTTTTCAAGACTGGCATAAGCTTTAACCAAGGCATCAGACAGACGAGCAGGCAGATTTGACCCTTCATCTTCAAGCCCCTCTTTGACGATTTCAACCAAGTCCATCATCTGAAAACCCCGATTGTGGTCCCCTTCCTTAATGAGCTCCACTAATATCCCATCCAACTTTCTATCCAAACCCCAATAACATAGCACTTTAACCATGGCTGCATATGTATAAACATCATGGCTAAACCCACATTGTTTCAACTGGTAAAAAAATGATAAAGCAAGAGTTGGTTCTTTTCTCAGATTCTTCAAGGCTTCAACAACTCTTACTGTATCTACTTCACCAAGAATGTTTTCCAAGCAGCTTCTGCTTTGGGTATTCCAAGTTTTTACTTCTGCAACAGAATCTGATAAAGCGGGGCCTTTAAAGTCCAACTGAGCAATAGCTGAGACCGAGTAGAATCGTATTATCCGAACATGCTTAACCAATTTTCTACGGGAAACAATCTTAAACGCAGACACCCACATGGAAAGTAGAAAAATAAGCAGAGAGATATAAGAATCACAGGCTATTCCGACATGAAGTACATGGAGGACGACAAAGAAACAGTCATACATACGAGAAAATTTGCTTAATCTAAGGAAACCCAGAATCAAAATTGCCAAAAATGCATACTTGCACTATCAGAACATCTGTGTTTGGATTTGCTGGTTGCCTACAGAGGGGGATTGACTTAAACCATACGGGAGAAATTGTTTAATTGGCGGCAACCCAGAATTCAAACTTGCCACCAAGCGAGAAAAGTTGCTGAATTGACGGAAACCCAGAATTCAAAATCGCCGAAAAAAATGTGTACTTGCAGTATAAGGACGGCTCTGTTTGGATTTGCTGGTTGCCTACAGAATCGGAGCTACTTAAGCTGGAACAGCTAAACTAAAACCCTGGAATAAACCCTCAGATACTCTCATGTATTCTAGTATCCCCAAATTACTATTATACCCTTCAAGTAATTTTGAAAAAGTGAGGAGCAGAACCCAGAAAAACTTGCGCGAACAGAAGGTTTCAAGAATGGTTGTTGATTTTTCATGCAGACAAATTTTGAGAGGATGAAACAGGGAACAAAGAAGAAAAGGAAGACTCGTTTACTTTCAATCTTCACCAGCTATGGAAGGAGAGGACACAGGAGGAAATAAAATTCTTTTTGAAGGATAGAAAGGTAATTTCACTCTTCGAATATAATAAAAGAAAATATTATTTCGCAAATGTTTCTTTAGACGTATCTCGTGAATATTTAACTTACCCAGGGAAGAGTTCACTTGAAGTGAAAAAGCTGAAACAGAAGCAGTTGAACAGACATGGATGAACAAGAATTTCGACGCCTTCTTGAACTTTTCCCCGTCGTCCGATCTCGTGATTACTGTGTAAATCTTCTCCCCCTCGCTCTCTTTCTATCGCTTTCTGTTGATCTTTTTCCTCTTTCCTTCGTTTTCTATTTCTTGTTTGCTTCCGATGAACTTTACTTAGTGCTATGATGCTATCATTCCTCTACAGGTTTGGGATTTTCTGAGAAATGAATTTTGTCTGCATGTTTGTGGATATATGAATAAAGATATACTACAAACATATATGTTTATATGATGAAAGGGGACTATCAATCTTGTCTTCATTTTACTTTAATTAGGTCTTTGATTAAATCCAGTTAATCTTTGTTTGGCAGAGAGAGTTTGGTGTTTGTATTATGTGCTAAGTCTATTAGCTCGATTGCGTGTGAGAGAGCATTTTAGAATTCAAATGATAAGATTGATCTTTTCCCAATTAGGTTATGTTTGGAATGAAGAACTAATTTCTTGTGAAATTTATTTGGGAATTGATACATAATTTAGTTTTTTAGTAAGATTTTGAAATTTGTTGTTTCAATTTCACTTGGAAGTCTCGTTGAGGTCAATTTTCATGCTCCTAGTTGAGCTGACAATAGATTTTCAAATGAATTGGGAAAAGAATAGTTCATTTGGTCCGGAAATAGTGTCTATGTTTTTTTATAATTGGTTACCCCACTAATTATCCAACAATGATTTTGAATATTTCTGGTAAAAGAATATTTTCTTCTGGAGATTTTGATGTTGTTATTGTTAATGACAATAATTTGGAGACTTTCAACCTAATGGAGCTGTTTACCTGCTTCTGTATTTCTAATAGTCTTTTGCTTTCTTTTTTTACAGCATACTTCAAATTTGATGATTGGTTTTCAAATTTTTTTCTTGATGGTTTTTGTATCATCCAACCATTTTCTTTCAGGTCGAATCAGATTCGCAAAGGCAATCAACTTCACGTTCCAAGCAGAATGAAGAGGTACTTCTAGGAGGAGCTCTTTTTCTCTCTTGTTACTGCCTTTGTACAGTTTCTATCCATTCATTCACCTTTGACGCTAGCTTGAGGATTTTCCTAACAGATGAAGGAATGGCAAGATGCATGGAGTGATGGGGACAAAAAGGAAGTAATAAAGGAGGACCTTCATGGTGTGTTTTCTTTTTTTTTCTTTTTTGGGATAAAAGGAGAAATATTATTAGGAAGGCAGGATATACCCAATAGGAGAAACAAAAATAGAAACCACAGAAAAAAAAAAAAAAAAAAATTCTAACTTCAATATAAGATAGCTGCCCAATCCCTTGACAAAGTAGATAAAGAGACACCTCCCTCCCCTCTCCATGGAAGGGACTTGAGCCTTACCCTAAAGGAGTGGTAAAAGATTCATTTATCAACTATCATGGTAATCCATATCCTAGTTAGGGAAAAGAAGATGAAAGTTCCATGGATGGAATTGGTTGTAGAAGTTAAACACTAATCTGTTTTCCTCCACTTACAGATGCATTTTGGGAGAAGCTAAAGGCTGCTGCTGAGGGAAAGGTGTGTTTTGTTGGCTGTGATAATAATTTAACAAGTTTCAACTGTTTTAAAAGATTTTAAACTTGCAAATTGGTTGATTAGATTGCAAACATCTGGAAGACAAATACTCAAAACTTTTTCCTCAAATTTGTGTCGAGATAATCATTATGATGATTACATGGATTTCCTTGGTTTTCTTCTTTCTAAAAGAGGGCCACTACTATTGCGACATATGTGAATACAGCTTTAAGTCTTTCACATATGTAGTCTTTCTACTATATAAACTGAACTTTGAAACAGGATGATGAAATATTTTTATTCCGAAACTAGTTGGATACTGGAGAATAGAAATTTGATTTCCAGTATGTTCTCTTGAATTTTTTTTTATTTCCACTAGAAGTTTATAATCTTTGGCCATCAAACTGGTTCTGGCGACTATTTCAAGTAAGACTTGATGTTGTTGGTTTCACAACAATATTTGGGTACTAAAGTAGATGGCATGCTTGTTTAGTTGTTTTCAAGAACAGCTATCAGATTAAAGAATCATACCATGTCCTTGGTTGCCTTTTGGAAATGTTTGCTGCCTAAGAATTAGCTGCAATTTCTAATCTCATTATATATCTCAAATCAATCTTTAACTTGACAAGTCTCCTATAACTGAAATGTTGTCTTTGAAATACTGGAGAAATCGGAGTTCTGCTAGAATCTGACATGTTTTTGTCATGCCTATCTGTAATGGAACAGGTTCCATAACCCGTTTCCATCCCTTTTTCATAATCAATATCTCTCACAATCTCATTCAGATTCTTGAGTTATGAGCGATAATATGCACCTAATTTATCGACCTCTGATGATGAATTCTAATTGGTAGTAACCTGTGCTTTTCTGATGCAGGTGGGTGCAGCAGACGCCGAAAGATTTTGCAAGGCCTTCATAAAAATCCACAAGAAACTTGTAGGTGTTACGCCGGTAAACATTACAGCTTCCGTATTCAGAAAACAAATTCTCACAGATTTATGTGTCTGAAATGGTTTCAGGTTAATGAAGAGCTGAGTTTGAGTGCTGCAAGGCGCCTTGTGAACCAATCAAAGAAATAGTCTCCGATACCGGAATAATCTCTTGGGTTCTCTTTGTTCTTCCCCCCCCTGTGAGCCGAATATCTTCCGTGTAAAAAAAGAAGGAGAATTCGATAGAAACAGCGATTCGAAGTTTCTAACTTTCTTGAACATTTTGAAACTTGATTGATTGCACTTTCTCATTCAAACTGAAAATAGTTTTGTTTTCAAAATTTGTTGTTTCTCAAAGATCTAGTAAGTTGTGTTGGTTAATTCAATTTTTCTAGTTGATAAATCAATCAGTAGATTTTTTTAATAGAAAGTTTAATTAAGAAATTATTAATTAGATTAACAAATCCCTTAATTGATGTTTTAATCAATTCATAATCCATCTTAACTTCAAAATTATGTGTATAATGAAACTAATCTTCTAAATAACATTTCACCTAAAAAAATTACAACTTATCTTCTATTACGATTTTAATTCAGATTGTGCGTTATATAAGTTTTCATTATAAAATTATATTATAATTGATGTGTGTATATATATATATATATATCGTTTATATTTTTCTTTTTCATAAACTTATATTAAATTATTATTATAAGATTATATTATGATTAATCTATAAATATTGTTTAAATTTTAAAAAATTAAATTTTTGTAAAACTATGAGTTTGAGTTAAATTACGTATTCTATAAGTTATTATTATAAGATTATATTATGATTAGCGTGTATTTATTATATAATTTTAAAAAAATTATGTAAAAAATTATAAATTTAAATTAAATTGTATGTTATGTAAGTTCGATTTATAAGTTTATATTATAATTAATATATATGTATTATTTAATTTTAAAAAAAATTATGTAAAATTGTGAATTTTAATTAAATTATGTATTCTATAAATTTTTTTATAAAATTATATTTTAATTGATGAGTATGTATAGATTAATTTTTCTTTTGAAAGGAATCTCAAATTTATAGCCCAGAAGCCCATGTCATTGATCCAGTTCATGCCATTTCTTCAACCATGTGGACCAGACCAAAAGTGGTTTACAGCCTCCGCCTCTCCTCCTCCTTCCGAGATCCGAACCCTAAAACAATCCATCGCCTCTCTAATTTCCTCCAAATTTCTCTTTCTCCTCCCCAGCACTACCTCTTCCCCTATCATCGAAATCCTTCGCTTTGTTCTCCCAAAAAGTAACGGCGTCTCTTCTGTTTCCATGGGCGCCTGGGCTGTTTTTGAAAAGCTCCGGGACCAGAAGCGGCGAAGTTAGAGAAACCTGATTTATTCGCGCGATCGACTTTCATCGCCGACGTGTCTTCCAGCAGGTAACGCTTTAGCCTTTCTGATTTTTTTGGTTTACCCGCTTTTATGGTGTTGTTTGAGACATGTTGTGGAAAGTCGGGATTGAAGAGGGGCCCCTGTTTTCATTAGTTACAATTTGACATGTTTTATTAGCCATTTGCTGTGCTGTTAGGGTTCCTCCGTTTCTATTTTCGCGCATAATCGCTCTGTTTGTGTATGCACTCACTATGGGTTTGTTTTCAGGTGTTTCATTATATCAATATACGAAACAGTTCTGTATTGTGCATACATCAGGTTAGGCACATGCATTTACTTTTATTCTTCTTTATATGAATTAGATAGTGTCTTTTTAA